GGGAATGAGACTCAACAATCTTCCAACCCAATCTTCCAACCCAACCCAAATACATTTTTGTAATTGCAGCAGCAAAACTGGCAGATTTTTAGTTCAAGCTGAGAAACTAACATGTTTTTTTCAACCACTTCTCACACTCTTCACTTCCTGTATGTATAAAACAGAGTTTAAACAAATGAATTCCATAGTGAATGATTTTTTTTAAAAAACTCAAAACTCTCAGGTGACTAATGAAGGGCTGGTGTGATTTGGCTTTCTCTTATGGCGTGTTTAAAAAGCCTGGCAGCAGAGTTTTGTATTAGATCAATACTTTCTTACAGATACTATGTTTTGTAATACTGTATCAATTCTCAGAAACACTATCGAAGATTTGTGGCAGTGGTTCATTTTGTATTGTGTTTAAAGACCTGCCTGCTTGGTAGTAGCGCTGTAATCTGTCTACTGCAAAATAAATGGAATTAACATTTAATACTGCTTACTTTCACTCTCCACTTGTGATCGGATCACCCAAGACGCATTCTGAAACCAGGTGTCAACAGGTTTAATGTCTACATGCAGTTCTGTTGGAAAGTTCTCAGAATCTTTGTTTCTGGAAAATGATGTCATAATGTTATGATTCTATAATCTGTAACAGGTTTTTTTGAGAGCATTTAGTAACTCAGCTTACTGGGTTCATCGTTACATTCGTGATGAATGGTAAAAGCTTCATGGAGAGCCGTGGTTACACATTTCATAAGAACCTGGGGGAAGGAATGTATGGCAAAGTTGTAAGTGCGCACTCATCCCACCTGGACAAAAAGGTCGCCATAAAGGTTATGGACAAAAAAAAGTTACATTATAGTTACTTGGAGAAGTTTTTGCCCCAGGAAATGCAGATCATCAGGTCGTTGAATCATCCCAACATTGTCAAGACTATTGATATTTTTGAATCAAACACAAAAAAGGTAATAACCCTAACCCTTGTCAGAAATGGAATTTAATATCATACAGGTATGTTTTATTAGTGATATAATCACTCTGAATATAATAATATTGTGTGTTTTTGTTATCTTAGAATGAGCTGTTTATATCTACAGAGGCAGTTAGTTGCCTTCCATGGGGTCCACCATGATGAACTGCCATGTTTCTACAGTAGTCCAGAACAGACAAACCAAACACTGGCTGTAGAGGGACTTTTGCAGGTTTTTTTCAGAGTGTGACCCCCTGTTGCTGATCAGTCACAGTCTGAAAACCAAGAGTTCAGACAGGAAGTTGTGAGTTGCCTGAGATAGCTGATTGTTGAGTCACATTCCCAGCCTGAGAATGAGACTCAACAATCAACTATCTTTCTCTAGAATTATTAGAACCATAATTGAGATTTTATTAAAGCTCCTTTCTATTTCAACAAATTATTATACAATTATTTCTTCTTTTTTTTTTACAAGAAAGGACACAGTTATAACATTAGTTGAATATGAACAGATGATGATCTCTGTACAGATAAAATTTCCCCAATTTTCTGTTATATTTGTCAGACAAAATCGAAGTTTACATCACTTCTTCTCAGAGTCATAACTTTATCCAGCTTAATATCTAAACACACATTAAAACAACAAGCTAAACATAATGTTACATAAATGTAAGACTCACCAATCTAGATCCAGGCTATTTTAGTACGGTCAGTCTCTGGCTCTCAGCTGACAGAATAGAAGGGCGGGAAACCGTGCTTGCCCAGTCCAATTCCGACAGTAGTCAGTCCCAAACTTTGAAGCGTTATTCGACTCTGTAGGTGTGTTGACAACTTTTCGTGCTAATCTTCACCTGTGGGCAGGTTGTTGAGATGCTGTAGCCAGCTTCAGTCCAGACAGTGCGGGTAGCAGTACAGTTGCTAACGGTTAGAACAGCCGTTTGAAAATGCCGTAAAGTTTTCTGTCGCTTCTCTCATATAAGTTGGTTAATGCTGGGGTACACCTCCCTTATTATTTCATTTTTACTCTGAAAATCCAGTTTTCAGTCAAAATTGTTCAGTTTTTATGTCGGCAGCTTTACTGCTGCTAGCTAAGTGATGTGGCGTTCAAGTGCAACTGTGTACATTTCACTGATTAGAATATTTAGACATTTTCAAATTGTTTAACAGACCCCAAAGGTTTTTGTTATTCTTATTTTCTTTTCTTTTATTTGTTGTATATATCTTTTAAAATATGAATGTCTTTATAGTATACAGTATAAATGCAAATGTTATAATGAAATCTTTTGTATACATGGGATGAATTGAATGTATTGAATGTCTATTTTCGTCTCTTTTCTTTATCGATATATTGATTTTCATCATGCGTAACAAAGAGCATTTCTAGTATAACATTTAACTCTTCGGCACAGAAGAGTTTCGCTTTCATTCACAGTGAATAATAACAATCATATTCAAATTTGTTGCGCATTATATTAGATTCAGACAATCCAGATTCAGTATCAATAGGTGATTATTGTCTGAACAGTGTAAACTTGACCTTGTATTCAATACAGCAGGACTTTGCACATTTAAGTAAGTTCAAATACAATACTAAGTTTGGTTCATCCTCAGTAACTTTTCACCATTAGTTGTGCAGGGCAAGATAAAACCTGATAGATATTCCAGATATCCAGATATTTTAGCTTGTGATCCCATATTGAAGCTGCATGGCACCTGATTTGAGAATATATAGGAAACTCTTGATTAGATTAGGGGTCTCAAAAGTGCTTTTAAAATTTTGGTTAATAGCTCATAGATTTAATGCCAACTTTACATTCACCTGGGCTTTCTCCCATTGTATACATAACCCCCATTTCTAAAAAGAAAATCATTCAATATGACGCAATATGTCAGTTACACAACTTTTTACACTTTTTATTTACACACATTTAACTTTTTTCTGTGGAGTTCAAATACAAACCATTTTTATTATTTGATTATATTAAACTGAATATACATGCACAGCCGTTTTCATGGCATGTTGTATTGTGGCATGTGTTAGAAAATCATTTATCACAGAAAATCAAGCAGCCTATTCGATTTCTATCAATTGCCAGCGTGGGTTTGCCAACTTTTAGTGTAAAGCCAAATGCAGACATGCAAACTTGTGGAATAAACATTGCAGCCTTGCGTTACATCCATAAAATGCAACTGGTGTTTTTCCTGATGAAAAAAAAACACATCAACCTTCCTCACATGCAAAAGCAGAACCATTTCTGACCTCTAAGTCAGTGTAATATTGATGCTAACATGCTCACAATGACAATGGCAGTGTTAGGAATGTATAGTATTTGACCATGTTCAACGTGTGCTACAGTTTGTGTTATGGGGTTTGTTTTTTCTAATTACATTTTCTTTACATCCATTGCATGCTCTGTTGCATATATTTTACCATACACCTTTGTATCTCTAGGTCTATGTGGTGATGGAGCTCTGTGCAAAAGGAGACCTCTTGAAGCATATCAATGTCAAGGGGGCCTTACCCGACCATTCAAGCTGGAGGTTTTTCACACAGCTGTGTGAGGCCATCCAGTATCTTCACAGCCGAGACGTAGCCCACAGAGATATAAAATGTGAGAACCTGCTGCTGGACAGGTATCACAACCTCAAAGTGTGCGACTTTGGGTTCAGCAAGAGTTTGACTTACATAGACGGGCGGATGGTGCTCAGTGAAACTTACTGTGGCACCTCGTCCTACGCAGCACCTGAGATTTTGAGAAGCTTTCCATACAACCCCAAAGTGTCAGATGTGTGGAGTATGGGTATTGTGTTGTATATGATGCTCTATGCAACAATGCCCTATGAGGCCAACAACGTTACGAGGATGGTGGGAATTCAAATGCAGCACAATATCGACTTCCCAAACAGTCCGTCTGTTTCTTTTGAGGCAAAAGACCTCATCCGAAGCCTTTTGCACCCTGTTGTGGAGAAGCGGATTACGATCAGCAACATATTGCAGAGCTCCTGGGTCTTGCGGGAAGGGAGAATGGAGGACACTGATGCGGACCCCACATCACATGCTGGGTCTGGCCAAGGAGGACCTACAGATGAAAAGGCCAAAGAAGAGGAGAAACTTACAAAAAACTGCTCAGATCCAGGGGAAGGACCTTCAACTGCTGCCACAAGACACTGACGTTAAAATCAGAAGCTGACAAAACCTTAAATAAATACATCAATTAATACTTAAGAACAAGCTACAAAGTGTTTCCTCAACTGTATGTGTGATGCATTTCCTACTGTCCTGGAGGCTGTCCTGGCCAACCACAGTATACAGTGGAGTGTCGTCAGCCAAATATGCTCACCTGGGTTTGTGGGGTTTTTAGCCCCTGCCTCTCTCATCTTTACCCACCTTACATCCTCTTTTGGTTTGCACCTTCAGCACCTCCACAGCACACATCCATTTTCATTCAGGCCCATAGTTACCCTCAACAAAACTGAGCTCATGTCCTGTTTCTGGGTCTTTTTATGTTTATATATAGTATATATATATAAAAATGTTTTTTTTTTAAATACTCAAGAAAGTAGACGTAGAAGTATACAAACAAACAAACAAAAAAACATTTTAAGCCTGCAAATAAGTAAGGTTATGGAGAAAAGGCTGTGGAATAGTTAATTAAAAATGTAGTATGCAGTATTTATTTTAGTCCTGATTACTGGGGGAGGATACAGAGCCAAGAAAGATAGAAAGAGGCTTTGGGTTGGAAGCTTGGAGGTAGTTGATAGTTGAGTCTCATTCCCAGGGCCCCCAAGCATCTCTATTTGACGCCCTGGGATTGAGACTCAGCCATCACCCATTTTTCTCGCCTCTGATTGGTTGTTTATGTCCAGGCCCGGTGTATTCTTGTAAATGCCATTAGGAGCACTAGGAGGAGCCAGAGGAACCAGACCTTTTCACAGATTATCTGTCTCATGTACTACTGTCAGGATATAGTGAAAGTTTCAGCAGATATGACAAAGGTTATTTTTATAAAAATGACCAACTGCAACTTTAAGAAAAAAGACAAAAGAAATAATATTATTTTACTTTTTATTAATTATGTTTTAGCTTCTTTATTACAACCAGGGG